TGCAGGAATAATTAAAAGGAGAAGATTGCCACCTAGTGTTCATAGAAATTATAATTTAGAATAGGATAGGATAAAAAAGAATAGAGCTGGAAGGGACCTTGGAGGTCTTCTAGTCCAGCCCCCTGCTCAAGCAGGAGATCCTATACCATCTCAGACAGGTGACTGTCCAGTCTCTTCTTAAAAATCTCCAGTAATGGAGCACCCACGACTTCTGATGGCAAGTTGTTCCACTGGTTAATTGTCCTCCCTGTCAGGAAGTTTCTCCTTAATTCCAGGTTGCTTCTCTCTTTGGTCAGTTTCCAACCATTGTTTCTTATCCTGCCCTCTGGTGCTTTGGTGAATAAGGTGACCCCTTCTTCTTTGTGGCAGCCCCTCAAATACTGGAATACTGCTATCATGTCACCCCTATTTCTTCTTTTCTTTAGACTAGCCAAACCCAAGTCCTGCAGAAATTTATTTGGTTGGGCATTGGAAGAGCAGCATTACAATCTGACCATTATGTATTTAGATTTATCAATAGAAATATATTGGGTATTAAACTTTCAATTTTATATTTTTGGATTATATTTGAGTTATTTTAAGTTATGTAGTTCTGGTCTTAGGCTATATTAAAGAAAGATGATGATTGATGGTTGACCATGGATAGACTCACATATCTTGTTGTTAGGATTTTTAACCTATTTATTGAAGGCCAGGTTTGTAGATGTATCTAAGGAACACCATTTTAGAGACCTTAGACATATTAAAGGATGTTTATAATTGCATAAGTTGCATGAAGCTCAGGGAATAAGAAGCTGATTTATCTAATAAGCCCCAAAAGAGCTGTACATCAGACAAGACAAAGCAAACTGTAGATTTTTAACTATGGATTTTTAACATTGCATGCCACCTGGAATCAATATGTATGAGTTGGGCAGCTATATAAATCTGTGAAAGAAAGGGAAAGAGAAAGGGAATGGGAAGACCTGTAGCGATGGGGAAGAGCTATTACAGTGGCAATGGATGTACTATTGGAAGATCTATAGGACTAATTTAGGACTGATCGTTATGGGGAAAATCTATGTGATTGCTAAGAGTTGCCACCAACCTTATGGCACATAATCAGTTGTGTGTGTGTGTGTGTGTTCAGTTTACACACTGCATTAACCTACCATTTTTTTTGTTTCAATAGCAGCGATGTTGTTACCTAGTTTGGTAATGAAATGTCTGCTAGAAAACAACCAAGCTCAGAGATCTCCAAGGGCCTCACAACTTTTGTCTGCTTCTTGGCTTAATGGATTGTTTCACAGACCAAGACCAACTGCTTACAATGCTCTGAGACTCACCATTAGATGCTATTCAAAAGCACGGGAAATATGCATTTTGGAAAATGAAACATTTGGAGACGAGGCCCAAACTAATACAGGGCTCCACAGCTGTTCCCTTGCCAATCCAAGTAATGTTTGGTCTGAAAGCAATTCCCACCCCCAATTTTGTACGTTCCCATGTGCTTTGACAGAACCCAGAGCAAGAATTTTGGAAAAAAAAGGTGGAGAGGGGAGGGGAGAGAAAGAGAGAGACTCACCTCAAGCCATTAAAAATTAAAACATTCATTTATTAGAATATTTATGTAAAAAGACTCTCTTTACACAATCTTTTATACAATAGATTCATTGCTTTAAACGGCTCCTAGCGGAGACAGTATTGTACATGAAAGCACATATAGGCTACTGAAGGCCCCTGGTTCCTGCTTGGCCTGAAGCAGAGAACAGAGGCAAAGCCCAGCTGAAGTTGAGAATACAGAACTGTGAAAAGCAAGCTGACTGGGCTCCCTTTTTGCCCCCTTCCCCCACCTGTGCTGTGCAAAGGTCTTCCAGCCCAGAGGAAGCTGTGAGCGCACCATGAGGGGAGGGGGAATGGGAGCTCATCGCTTTTTTGGATGGAAGAGGGTGCACAGGTGTGCAAGGAGCCCTCCCAGAGGGGCCCAGATGGTGGCCAGACAAACAGGCAAAATTGCACAACACCATTTCGCACAGGCAGACACTGTATGGCTAAAAAGGCACAGCACAGGGGCAGAGGGCGGAAACACCCCCTTCACTGTAGGGGGGGGAGTGTAGAGTAGGCTGGAGGAGGAAAGGACGGCTGTGTACTACTGAAAAAAAATCAGCAGGCACTAGCATGGCTCTGTAACAGGGTACGATCCTTGAAACAGCTTTCCATCACAGACTTAACAATAAACCAGAGTTGGTATCTACTGTGGAGAATGGATACCAAATATGCACTGTCTTCTTATATGTCCCCTCCCTCACCAGAAGTACAATGTGCACACTCTTCACAAATAAATCAGCAGGCAACTTGTCTCGCTTTGGAATAACTGGACAGAGAGATAAAAGCAGGGTGGGACAACAGCCCTATACTAAAGGGGATTGGGGTCCTACTCCCTTTGAAGAGCTGTGCTACACCTCCCTATCCAGAGATGGTCCTCATATAGTAGAAACATTCTACTGCAATATTCCCCAATCTAGAGGCCTCCAGATGTTTTGGACCACTCTTCTTCTCTGTATTTTGTCATAGAGAGCATGAGCCGATGCTGAGAGGAGTTGGACTTAAAACATCTGGTAAGCACCATGTTGGAGAAAGCAGAAATAGATGTTATTCTGCCTCTTTTCTGGACTTTCCCACTCTCTACATCTTCAGGTCTAAGCAACAGGACTATGTAAAACCCTGAACAAGGAAGGCTATCTTTGGCTAAGGGCCACAACAAAGAAGTGGCAGGTTATAGTCAAGGTCATTGCGGACCATAATCAAGTTGGTTGATTATGGAAAGGGGCATTATTAAATGCTTTTCCATATAATTAAATGTCTTGCATGTTATTGGAAGAAAGCAAGGCCAGTAGAACCTTCTTTCCCAACATAGTGATTTTCTACATGCAGAAGTTTTATTCTCTATGCAGGGAAGCTTTCAACCAGGCCAACGTCTTCCCCTGCAATCTCAAAGTGGTGTGGGCCAGTCTGATTACACACTCATTCAAATTTTACATTTTAGGCTAAAACTAAACAGGAACAAACATTCATCTCCTCCACCCTCCTCCTCATTGCAAAGGGCTCAAAAGAAGCTGCTTGCTCTGCAGGCCACTCCATCTCTTTGTAACAGCCCACACCCGGATAGAAATACCTGATTCCTGCCACTTCCAGGAACGTGAGCTTTGCTATTACATACAAAAGTTAATGTATTTATCCCTGACTGTGGAATAACTATGGCACAGTTCAAACATGATTTGGGAGGAGAGAAGGGAAAGTCAGAGGTTAAATTCTCAGAAACCCAGATGGAGACAGAAATGATAAGGAAAGAGACTGGACAGTCACTTGTCTGAAATGGTACAGGGTCTCCTGCTTGAGCAGGACGTTGGACTAGAAGACCTCCAAGGTCCCGTCCAGCTCTATTCTAATTAGTCCTCAACTTATGACAGCTGTAAGTCAAGGATTACCTTGTATTGATTAGAAGGTCACCTCCTAGAAAGAAGATGTCTATTATGGAATAAAACTAATGAATTATGGAAAATGAATATTGGATGGAGAGCAGAATAAACCCACCAAGGAAAAGAAAAGGATGGGAAGAAAAGACAGAATTATTCTGACTAAGTATTGATAAAAGGAAAGAAGACTGGGTAGCATCTCATCTTCTCTGTGCCAAATATTGCTAGATGGTAAGGGCCAAACCAGTTGCCTAATATTGTTTCATGCTCTCAACTGACAGGCAGGGAAAAATTGAAGCTTTTCAGACAAAAGAGAGAGAGGGAACCTGTATCATAAATATACTATCACTGTCCCCAGACATAATAGGATAGTTCCTCACTGACATCCTAGTGCAAGGGTAGGCAACCTTGGCTCTTTTATGACTTGTGGACTTCAACTCCCAGAATTCCTGAGCCAGCTATGCTGGCTCAGGAATTCTGGGAGTTGAAGTCCATGAGTCATTGTCTACCCTGGTCCTAGTGTCTTCCATGGAATTTAGAATCTTTTCAAGACATGATTACTCTATTGTTAAAAACTAAAAAAGTAAAAATAAAGCAATCCTATATGTACAACCACATATTCATCTTTGGTCAAAACATGCCTTTGGAGTTGCACATGGGCTGTGTGAACACATGTTTTAACTGAAATCTCCTAGCTTCCGGCAAGGACAATGAGAAGGACACATCATCCTGGCATCCTCCAGATGTGCTGGATTGCAATGCTATAATTCCCCGTGAGAATAGTGGCACAATCCATTTGCAGAACCTTAATCAGCTTCTTATTTGGATGGCCAAATGGAATCCAATCAACTAAATGGAGAGCTGGACATCATGTGCCCATACCTCCTTAAGCCATATGTTCAAAATTGGTACAAGAGCAATCTTTGGTTACGGTTAACCTGCTCATTTGTATCAAAACAGAAAAAAAAACCCATTACAACCATAAAATAAGGCAAAACCTGTGATGCTAGATTTGGAACACCAACAGTTTAGAACAATTATCTATGGCTTATGGGATTTAAAAAGAAGCTCACAAAAAGAAACTTATAAATTCTACTGCTTAGAAGAAAAGAGAGGAAACATGCGTTACATCTGAGGTTGGAAACGATGTATGGAAGTCACTGGCTCAGATTTTTTTTTTAAATCTTAGAAACATGATCATCCAGTAACTATGCAGGACATCCTGCAGCACTATCTGATATATCTGAGCACCCAAAGGTCCTCAGCTCTTCTGGTGTGTTTCAAAACTGGGAGAAGGGAATTATAGCAAAGATGTTTCTCAGGAGTAAACAAGGAGGAGCAGTTGCCAGAGGAGAAGGCAACAGTGAGTCAGAGCATGCTAGTATCCAGGAGGAGATAGTCTTCTCTGGATAGAATGACTAGCATTCCCAACCTTGGATATGGAATCTGAGTTAATTCTAGATCTATTGCCTCAGATCACAAAGTATGTTCCATTTAGGTACTCTCTGCTGCCTTCTACCAAAGTTCCCGCACTGAAGAGAAGGAGACAGAGAAGAGAAAGACACAAAGAAATAGAGATTGGCATAACTGGGTGTGTGTATTTGCACATGAGTGCAAGAGCCTCCTCTACAGGTTAGATCTAGTAGTGCATATCAAGGCTCACTGCCCTTTGGGGATAAAAGGTTCCCCCTCTTCAGGATCTGGCCGAGGCCCTGGATCACTCAGACATCTCATAATCCGCTGGTTGCTGGGACTATCGCCTGTCCCAGGAGTAAAGACGTCATCTGTGCCTGGAGAAGATGGCTCTTTGACCTTCATCACCAATCCCTCCTCATCTTCATCTTCCTCCGGGGAGGGTGGAAGGTGGTTCAGCCCTTTCAGCGCCTCATTCACCAAGTCAACAGACTCCGGCGACTGGGGGGACGCTGGGTCAATAGTTATGATGGGGACGTTCTCGGAATCCAGCTTTGGGTCATAAGCAAGAGGGTCTACAGAAGAAGGCAAAAGATAAGTGGAGTTGAAGGAAAGAGCCACTCAAGTAGCAGAATCATTTTTCTCTGCTCCAATATATCAGGAAAATCATTTTCCTAATTATGTCATACTACCCACTGTGAGGCATAAGGAACCAGAACAACACCCTGAGCTGATCAGAAAGTTTCCTCATTGCTTATTTAGAAGAATCTCCTCAGACTTAACTTCACTCTCTGGGGAACAACCACAGAAGGCATCAGGGATTTGGGGGGGGGGGGCAAGTATCCATCACTCTCTCCCTTGCAGGGACACACAGCTTGTCAGTCTCATAACTCCTCCCCCAACTCTAGCTGGAGATTTCCACCACATCTACCCACAGTTTCCAAACGTCGCTGAAATACAACTTCTCACCATCACCTATACTGGAAGATGGAGATAAATAAGTTCCCTATTCTTTACATTAAAGCAGACCCAGTGGGACATAAAAAATGGAGGTGTGGGGTCCAAAGTCTGCCCCTTAATCTTTCCACTTACCTGAACCAATGCGTGCCCTTGACATGGTTGGTGAATCTATTTTATGTGTTGGCACTGTCAGGTAGTTGTTCATCTGGAATCAGAAACACACGGGCATGTGTTAAAAAGCCCCAATTTCGGAAGTCCAGCCCAGTTCAGATTTCTGGAGCATTCTTTATCTGCAGTAGTTTCAATTTAGAAGAGGCAAGAGCCCCAGATAGTGGGAGCAGTTTGAAAAGTGTATGTCCCTGTGTTATGTGCGTATAAATGAGCTTATTATGCATGGAAAATTTTGCTCATCCACAAAGATGGATCTTGAAATAGGCTCAACATTTGCCAGTCACTGAAGAGTAAACTATGCTGGCTCAGGAATTCTGGGAGTTGAAGTCCACGAGTCATACAAGAGCCAAGGTTGCCTACCCCTGATCTAGAACCTCACAAGGTTCCTCTCCCACCCTCCCCAAATTCCACCTTCCCGCCTTCCACCTTCTGTTCCAGCTGCCGAGCCTTCTGTCTTCTCAGCAACATCTGGTTCCAGGCTTCTTCATAAGGATCTGCTACCAAGGTGTGTCGATTATATGACCGCAACTGGAATGGAAAGCAACAGAGGTTAGACTGAGAGGCAGATGCTCACTGCCTGTTTAAAAAGTATGGTTTCTGCAACAAATCTCTAGGAAAGTCGATACAATTGACTCCAGGATTTAATTCCAAGAATTAAAAAGCAGGCAACATGCAGTTTTCCAAATGCTTGCCACACCTATCAAGGAGTCTTTAGCCATCAAGGATGATAGGAAATGAATCTTCTGATATTTGGTGGGCTGCTGATTGCCTATTGTGTATGTTATTAACCATTGTACGAAGCACATCTGCCAATGCTTTCTACCCGCTACTTCAAAGTCCATCCTCAGTATCTACCTCTTGGCTAATGGGAGGTTAACAATGATCTCTCTGCATTACTGAACTATGTTTCCGCTTGAGCGGAAGGCTCAAAGGTGGAATGAGAAAGCACAGGAGGAGAGAATCTACTGCGATTTCTTTTTTAAAAAAAAATTGGCTTTGAAAAAGTCCTTGCGCTTACCCTCTGCCTGGTTTTTTGCAAGTTGTTGCGCAAGATTTTTCGAATCTCCTCCTCTTTGTCCTTTGACAGAGCTGGCAAAATGCGTTCTACTGGCAACGTTTTCGGATTGATATTCCTGCAAGATGAAAAGGATTGGTTCCTGCCTTGGTTAAGTCTGAGTTCTCTATTAACTCTGCTTGTTGCAAGCCAGTTGTGAAGCACATGAATGGTTATCGCATGACCTCTGGATACTGCACGGCTGTAAACAGAGGACTGGTCACAAAGCTTTTTTGCTTTTGTTTTACACCATTGTAACTTCTAATGCTTGCTAAATGAGTCAGTCAGAAGGCAAGGGCTACCTAAATCAATTGGAACCTTCCAGCCACGATTTCAAAATTGCTACTTACTGCATCGAAACGGTGGAGACAGCAGAAGGGATCTTGCCCATCCCCCCACTTTCCACCAGCTCAATTGCTTGCTTCATCTCCATCTTGTGATAGAAGGCGATCAACTGGGGCTCCTTGGATCTTTCCCCAGCAATCAGGCACTTCTTCACATATTTCTTGTTGAAACGGTTTAGCCTTTGGAGAAATCATACAACAGGGAGGCATGATCAGGGAGAGGAAAGAATGGAAGATGTGATATAGACAAAGGCAGCAATCAAAAAGTACTACAGGTAGTCCTCAGCTTATGACCACAATTGAGCACAAACTTTCCGTCGCTAAGCAAGACAGTTGTTACATTGGTTTTGCCCCGTTTTACGAACTTTCTTGTCACAGTTGTTAAGGGAATCACAGCCATTGTTAAGCTAGTAGCATGGTTGTTAAGTGAATCTGGCTTCCCCATTGAGTTTGCTTGTCAGAAGGTCGCAGAAAGTGACCCTGGGACGCTGCAGCCGTCATAAGTACATGCCAGTTGCCAAGTGTCTGAATTTTGATCACGTGACCACGGGAATGCTTCAATGGTCGAAAGTGGGGAAAACGATCGTGTCACTTTTTTCAGCGTCGTCATAACTTCAAACTGTCACTAAACAAATGGCTGTAGGTCGAGGACTACCTGTAGTCCAGGCTGCTGTATTTATTTAGAAGCAGGGAAAAGTAGATATTATGGTTACAAATTTTCAAAACGGTTAACTAAAAACTGACTTGAGAAAACAAACCTGTACAAAGGCATCAAAATAAGTATTTCAATCATTTTTTTCTTTTATTTGTTTCTTCTGCTCAGGTGACACTTACTTGTCCTTCCAGTGGTGATGTCCATAGTGGCCACATATATCCTCAATCCCCGTCAAAAGATGATCCAGGAACTATTTCAAAAGCAACAATGATGCATTTATTGTTCATTTATTGAACATTGCCTTCTCTCGAGAAGAACGACACCTTCCAATTGTAAGTATGAAAAGGACTGTGAATACCATGAATTATGAGAAAAGCCAGTGAATTCTGGACCACATAAAGCTTGACTTTCCCTGCAGAAAACCACATAATTGAGATATGGGATATAATGGCTGATGGGCGAGAAAGTTTGTCAAGGTTAAGGAAAGCACAAGGAATAAACAATGGATAAGGTTGGGATCAATCAGATTACAGAACTATCCCTGGAAGAATTTCCAGCTATAAGAAAAGTTTGGCCAGGGTAGTCAAGAATTCCATACAGCAGTCAATAGGAGCTGATGCCGACTTGATGGCACCTAAATACAGGAAGTCCTTGATTTACGATCGCAATTGAGCCCTATTGCTAAACAAGGCAGTTGTTAAGTGAGTTTTGCCCCATTTTATGACCTTGCTTGCCATGTGATTCACTTAACGATTGTGGCAATTCGCTTAATGACCCTGGTAAAATTGGTTGTAAAATTCCAGCCCCAATTGTGGTTGTAAATTGAGGACTGCCTGTAGTAAAATCTTTAAAATGTTGAACGTTGTGAAAGATAATGTAGAAAATGTTACCCTCCATTTAGAAAATATAGAAAAATGATATTTCACAGAAACATCAACACAGCTGATTACAGTTGCACTCGCACATACACTCCACAGCAGGGTTCTTCAAACTTGGCCCTTTTATGACTTATGGACTTCAACTCCCAGAATTCCTCAGCCAGGCATGCTGGCTGAGGAATTCTGGGAGCTGAAGTCCACAAGTCATAAAAGGGCCAAGTTTGAAGAACCCTGCTCCACAGAGACGCTTTGCAGCAACTAGAAGAGAACTATCACCTGAGTGTGAATTTCCTCGTTAATGGATCTCTTGGTCTCCTGCTTTTTTTTCACTGCCAGAAGATCCACCAGCGGACGGATGGTCATGCCCTGCAGACAGACAAGCCAAGTTAAATTCCACCAGCCATACCCAAAGTCAGTTCATTTTTCATTTTCCTTCACAAATGCTCTTCCCAAACACTTTGTTGGCCCCGCCTCTGTAGCAGTGGCTGAGCTTGTTCTCCTATTCCAGGGGTCTCCAAACTTGGCAAGTTTAAGACTTGTGGATTTCAACTCCCAGAATTCCCCAGCCAACCATGCTTTTCTGGGAGCTGATCCACAAGTCTTAAAATTACCAAATTTGGAGACCCCTGTCCTATTCCAAGAGTCGTTGAGGATCACCAGAAGTATCATCGGGTCATCCCTGAGGCACACTGGAGATCTGGTGGAACATATACATCTTTGCAAGTCTTTGCTCAAATGAGCTTCCCACCCTCTAGAAATCAGCCTGTGGAGTGAGGTGAATATGTCCTCAAAATCATCAAAGGTTTCATTTCCAGGTCATTTCTGATGTTTCATATATTTAATCCATATTGCATTTTACGAGTACCACTAAAGAACTATACACATAAATATACAAAGCATGAATGCCAGAAGGCGTAATTAATACAGTGACTCCCAAAAACATTCTCTATTGAGAGCAAAGCTAGGTGACTCTACCCAGCTAACATTAGCTGATCTTTGATGACATCCATCTAGCTAGCACTTGGAAAAGAATCCATCAGGAAATCCCAGGCCTGTAGACTAGACTAAAAAGTTGAAGCAATATCCCAGAAGAGGGCAGTGGCAAGCCACTTCTGCACTATTGCTAGGAAAGTCACACAAACATGTTTTTGCAGTCTTAGGAGTCAAGCTCAACTCAAAGGAAACTTGACTTCATGTGTTTATGATACTGTAGGAGAACAGCTGTGTTTGTCTTCAGGAGCCCCAAATCCAAAAAAATCTGGTGGTATCTTTTCTAACACATTTTATTCAAAGAGCCTTAAATCCTGGCTCTGCCAGTGGCCTGAAGACGGTTACTGGATTAAGAGAAGACTCTATCTCTACCCTGATGTATATAGGTTCTTTATTTAGTTATCTTTGTTAATTTTAATGTTAATATCCATTTAAACTTTTATAAGGTAAAGGTTTCCCTTGTCCATTTGGGTCTCACTATAGCAGACATGTCAGTCACGTGACGTCGCGCAACGTATCGGGACTGTTTTGCCATTGCTGGCAATGGGGTGGGCGTATGATGCGTCCAGCCGATGGGCCCGCAGTTTGACACCTCTGCACTATAGCAATAGCAATAGCACTTATACCACTTCACAGTGCTTTTCAGCCCTCTCTAAGGTTTACAGAGTCAGCATATTGCCCCCCAACAATCTGGGTCCTCATTTTACTGATCTTGGAAGGATGGAAGGCTGAGTCAACCTTGAGCTGGTGAGAATCAAACTGCCAAACTTCAGGCAGCTGGCAGTCAGCAGAAGTAGCTGCAGTACTATATTTTAATCATTGCACCACCATGGCTTATGGACATGCTCATCTCTGTTTCTTAGCCGAGGGAGCCAAAGTTGTCCAAGGACGCTTCTGTGGTCACGGGGCCAGCATGATTATATGCTGTGGCACACAGAACGCTGTTACCCTCCCATCGAAGTGGTACCTATTAATTTACTCGCATTTGCATGCTTTCAAACTGCTGGGGCAAGGAACGGGAGCTCACCCCATCTTAGAGTACTTGGGTCTTGAACTGCCAACCTTCTAGTCAACAAGCCTAGCATCTTAACTGCTAGGCCATGCCCCCTTAATATTTTATATTGTCATTGTATTTTGTTGTAAACCACCTACAGTCATTTAATTGCGAGAGGCGCAGCTCAAGCTCGCTTCATCAGATGCATAAGTAGCTTAATTGATCTAGGCTTTATACTGGGGAGAGATGAGGATTGGTTAGGGTTAATTAACAGAGTCCCAGTAATCTGTCTCATATATAATTTACATAGCCACCCTGTCTTCTCCTCCCTTTTTTCCAAAATTCACCTCAGTTTAAATGCTACATTAGCCCAGTCACTCTAGGCAGCTGATGGAAGTGAGGGACGGCTCATGAAAGCTTATACCTTTGTATAAAATGTGCTAATCAGTAACGGTGCTACCAGATTCCTCCTGATATTTAGTAAATGAAGATGTAGAGCAGGGGTAGTCAACCTTGGCTCTTTTATGACTCGTGGACTTCAACTCCCAGAATTCCTGAGCCAGCTAAGCGGGCTCAGGAATTCTGGGAGTTGAAGTCCACGAGTCATAAAAGAGCCAAGGTTGACTACCCCTGATGTAGAGGAAGAGGAGAAATCCAGATCTTACTTCTGCACAGGTACTCAAAAATCCAGACTGAAGGTACTGGATTGTGAAGGTTGTTAGGAGGATGGCAAACGAAGGGGCTAGACAGGTCTACCTGCACAAAGACTGTGAAGAAGATCACTGTGATGATTGCTGTGAGAAACATGTCTCGCATTGGGAAATGCTGATGTTCCAGGAGGTAGCCGAGAGAGAAGGCAATGGCCCCTCGCAGGCCACCGTAGGCAATGATGAACTGATCCTTTGGACTCAACTTCACAATGCGAAATTTGTTGATGAACCACGTCAACCCCAGCACACCTGAACAAAGATTGAAAAGACAGAGAGGCACAGATTACCTAACAGCACTGTTGACACATACAGAGCTCTTGATTTTTGTTTTTTCAGGGGTTCAAATCACACTGCTCACACAGTGCATGTACACCAAATCAGATACAAGGTTAGTGGCCCCATACACATAGCATGCAAAATCTAACATTCATTCATTCACTCACTCAACTCACTCACTCACTCACTCACTCACTCACTCACTCATTCAATTTATTTGCCACCTATCTCATCATGGGACTACTCTCATACTCTAATAGTATGTTGTACAAACCCAGCTTGTTTCCTAAGCATTTCTCTGAGGCAGAGCAACATCTCTGCTGCACACAGTGGCCTCTATATCCCCTCTATTCTGGGTGCAATTTAGGTGACAACATGTTCTCCCTCTGTCCATTTTATGCCTGGACACTTCCTGTAAAAGCTTGCAGGAGAGTTTGCCAGTGGCATTTATTTATTTATTTAGCTTATTAAGTGAATCAGAACACAAAGTGACCCAGGCGGCTTAACAATACCAAAATGTTAACAGTTTAAAAACCCATAAACTCTTCATCCCCCTCAGCGGCCACCTGATTGCCTCTGTATCAACCAGGGGTCTTTTGTCAACCACTGACAAAAGCACATCTTCCAGAAAAGTAATATGGTGGGGGCCAAACTTATCTTTGAGGGAATGATATTCCCCAGGGAGGGAGCCACTATAGAGAAGGCCCTTTATCTTGATCCCACAAGGTGTACTTCCCTAATAAATAAGGACCCACAACAGACCTTAGAATAACAGAGTTGGAAGGGACCTTAGAGGTCTTCTAGTCCACCCCCCCTGCTCAGGCAGGAAACCCTATACCATTTCGGACAAATGGCTGTCCAATCTCTTCTTAAAAACGTCCAGTGTTGGAGCATTCACAACTTCTGGAGGTAGGTTGTTCCACTGATCAATTGTTCTAACTGTCAGGAATTTCCTTCTCAGTTCTAGTTCCTTACCTTCTCATTCTAGTGGGCTGGGTAGATGCTAACTAAGGAGAGGTGGGTCTTCAAATAACCTGGCCCCAAGCCACCTAGGGCTTTAAAGGAGATAACCAGTAACTTTCATTTATCACCCCAGCCTTATTTCCCATTTCAGAACATGTCCAGACCTAAAACCCTGGCAATCAAGCAGAAAATCAGGGTGCAAACGACGAAGGCCCAATTCCAGTGGTGGTTTCCAGCCACGGTGGAGACACCAAGAAAGATGAAGATAAGGGTCTCACTGACGCTGCTCCACATCTTCAGGAAGTATTTGATGGTGGTGTGGGACTTGTGGGAGATATTGGCCTCCACATACGGGCGCATCACTACCCCTGCAGCAATCAGCCTGCAAGAAAGAAAGAAATGAGCTATGGGAAGACCACAGAGACCACCAGCATCCCTGGTGGAGAAGAAGGTATTCCATGCCACCAGATGATCATACTCAGGGGTTTTTTTCCCTCATAGAACGCCCAGAAAGGAGTTCCGACACGTTTTTTGGATGGAACCTTGTAGGGTAGGCAAGGTGGGTTGTATGATGTGTGTGAGTTCCAGCACCTTTTTTTTTTTTTTTAGAAAAAAAGCACTGATCATACTTGCAAGGAAAGGGTGGAGAGAGGAATGCTTGTAGGACCTATCTACATCACTCAAAAATGAGCCTTAATATACAATTTTGTGTTAAGCGTTCATTTAGTTGTTCACTGGCAATCAGGAACTGCCTACATGTTGAGTAAGTGGGAGACAACTTTCCTCTAAACCCTACGCAAGACTAAAATATGCTGCCAGAGGAAGTGACCTTCCCATGGCTTCACACCCAGCCCAGACACCCATATGTTCCTTTAGCTCAGAGCTTAATAACAACTTTTAATCTTTCCAAATGATTTAATGTGTTCTTCACTTGCTCACTACCTAAGGATATACTATTTCTGGATGGCGTTTAAATTGTGTGTTTATTCATTTGTATTTTAGTCCTTTACCTTTTTGCTTATCTTGTATTTCAAATGGCTAATAATAAAAAAATAAAAATAATATCAAAAAAGAGAGAGAGAGAAAGAGAAACCTCCTTCCAGTTCACCTCCGCCAGCTGTGGGGGGTGGGCAGGAAAAGGTGAATTGGAAACATGTCCCGTCCCCCCCCAGCAATTTTTCTGCATTTCTTTACCCCTTTAATCAGGGTGAGTCAAGCTTACTGCTCAGCAGTAGATCCACAATGACTCACCCACATTCCTAAGGGAAGCGCACCAGTACGACAGAGCCAAGTATCGCTGAATCCAAAAGGTTGTGTCCCCCACTGTCCCCGCCCCCCCCCCGCTCCGCTACTTCTTTTATGGCCCTGACTGGGTTGGAGTTTTTGTCTCTGTCGGTTTTATAACGAGGGAGGTTTTCTAGCCGATTCTGCTGACAGTATCTGGCATCCGCCAGCAATGGAGCCTGGGGATGACTCATCCCACAAGCTTGGCAGAAAGCTGCTGTTCTGCAAGCCTCCAAGAGAATTGGGTGACAAAATGGAGGAGAGGCAACATACTTCATTGGTGCTCGGAGATCAACTAAAAACAAAGTCCTTGCAGTCAGGCCAGAGAAGAAAAGCCCTTGTCCCAGTGGTGGGATTCAAATAGGTGAACAACCGGTTCTCTGTGTGGATGCCGCTTCCGGAAGTCCATTCTGGGCCTGGGCAACAAAAAATTAGCTACCGGTTCTGCCGAAGTGGTGCGAACTGGCTAAATCCCACCACTGTCTTGTCCTCTGCCTTTGCAGAATGCAAGTTGCCTTTCAAGGAAAAGACATCTGTCTGTTACATCAACTGTATACAACCTAATACAAATAGTCCTTGATTTACAACCACTTGTTTAGCGACCGTTCAAAGTTACAACGGCACTGAAAAAAAGTGACTTATGACCAGACCTCACACATGTGACCACCACAGTATCTCTAAGGTCACATGATCAAAATAGGGGGTGCTTGGCAACTGCTATGTACTTATGACAGGTTGTAACGTTCCATTTGCGAACTCTCCCAGCCGCCTTTCAATATGTAAAGTTAATAAGGGGAAGCCGGGTTTACTTAACTTGTTTACCAACAGAAATTTTGGTTTCAATCATTTATTTATTTATTTTATTTATTTACATGGATTTATATGCCGCCCTTCTCCCTATAGGACTCAGGGCGGCTTACAGCATATTAAAACACATAAAACATCGTCCCCCCATAAAAACCTATTAAAAACCAAATATTTTTTTTTTCGCTGTATAATTAATTAAGATTTAAATTAAAAATTGTCCCTATTTAAAAATTCTCCCTAGGCCAGACCCGCTTGTTGAAAAAGCCATGTCTTGAGGGCGCGGCGAAAAGGTAGGAGGTCCGGAATCGTCCGGATCTCGGGGGGTAGTTCGTTCCAGAGGGTGGGGGCACCCACANCTGAGGAGGCCCGCTCTGTGGGAGCGTACCGGTCTGTGAGAGGGGATCTGTGGCAGAAGGCGGTCTCGGAGATATCCAGGCCCGATGCCATGGAGCGCTTTAAAGGTGGTAACTAACACCTTAAAGCGCACCCGGAAAGCCACTGGTAACCAGTGCAGCTCGCGCAGCAGCGGTGTTACATGGGAGCGACGAGTCCCTCAATCATGGTCATAAGTTGGGGACAAGAAGCAACAGATGAAAACTAACCAAAGAGAAAAAGCAACCTAGAACTAAGGAGAAATTTCCTGACAGTGAGAACAATTAACCAGTGGAACAACCTGCCTCCAGAAGCTGTGAATGCTCCAACACTGGAGGTTTTTAGGAAGAGACTGGACAGCCATTTGTCTGAAATGGTATAGGGTTTCCTGCCTGAGCAGGGGGTTGGACTAGATGACCTCCAAGGTCCCTTCCAACTTTATTATTATTATTGTTGTTGTTGTTGTTGTTGTTGTTGTTGTTGTTATTATTATTATTATTATTATTATTATTATTATTATTATATACACTGCCGTTGGGCAAAATTCCACCATGCTCAGTTATTTCACCCCTGGAGTTCAGAGGGGAAATATGAGTTGCTATATCTGTGCATTTTAAAAGCCAGGTAGCCCTTGACTATTTCAGCCATAAATCATGAGGGCTGTAAAGTGAGTTACCACATGATCAGATCTGATTTTGTGACTTTTTTTGTGGTGGTCATTAAGTGAATGCCGTGGTTATAAAGTGAATGCTGGAGTCATTAAGTGGACCCATTGTTGGCTATGAGGTGATTTTGCTGAAAACTGGAAATAAATGGCAATGTCCAACAGAAACATCATAAATTGGGGTCAGGTGACCATAGGCTGCTGCAAACAGCCATAAATGTGAGCCAATTGCCAAGTGCCCAAATATGGTCACATGACCAGCAGATGTCAGAACTTTGGAACTAGTCATAAGTTGAGAATTATTTGTAGCCCTTTCTCAACAGATGTGTGCAGATTACAACTTTAGGGCAGGAAGATGCAAGTATGGTTACCTTATGGGTCATATCGGACTTAAAACCAAAGATAGGTGGCCGCATTCAGGAACTCAGTAAGATCAGGACACAAAGTGCAAAGAAGGCCAAGAATTTTTGTGGCATTTGTGTCCACCTATTGAGTCTTTCTTAGGAACCTGGGATAGGGAGATGCTGTTGTTTAATTATATTAAAGGTGTTACACAAGATGTAAGGCGTTCCAAGTAAAGCTGCTTTTTGCAACTGATTGACACTGATTTGTCAATGCTAATGATGTTCAAGTGGTGCTTCAAATGTTTCGGATTGGACCCTATTACTATTGGCTTTCTACTTTGCTTTCTTTTGCCATTGTGGTTCTACTTCTGTTCGTAAGTCTTTTTATTTTGTGATTATTATTATTGTAACTGTACAATAATAAACTATCACATTTTATTTACAGTTTAGATCCTATCGTATTTTTGTAATTTCAGATGTTATCACATTTTACATAACTTTAGAGACTATTTTATAACCTAGACATAGATTGCTTCTTTTGGATCTCACACATGGATTCCAGCCAGGTTGTTTTACAAATATATTTTAATTTTATCTTAAAATTTTATTTACTATTTATTAAGATAGGTTTATAACTGACTGTCTAGGTGACTTTGAGCCAGTTTTTCTCTCTCTCTCTCTTTCTCATTTCAACCTATCATGAAGGAGAGAGTACATGAATGCAAATCAAGTTCCTGGAGGAAAGAGAGGTAATTCCAACAAATACATATAATAAATAAATACCTTAAAATAAGACAGCTGTCTATGATCTAAAGCAGAGGGCTCCAAAACTGGCAATTTTAAGGCTAGCTGGGGAATTCTGAGAGTTGAAGTCCACAAATCTTAAAGTTGCCAAGTTTGGAGACCCCTGATCTAAAGGTTGTGGTCTAAAGTCAACCTCAACTCCTAGGAATTTCATGGACATAACAACAATACAAAAATGGTTTGCAGGATGTTTTCCCCCACCCCAAGTTTGCAGTCTAGCCTACAGCTCTGATGTGTCATTGTGGTCTTCCATCCAAATACTAAACAGGCAGAGCTCTGCAGAGTTTTGGGGAATCACTAGATGCTGCCACAAATGTCCACGAACTCATTATAGTTTAATTTTTACAGCAGGGGCAGGCAATCCATTTCCCCTTCAGATGAATGGACTACAACTCCTACAGTCCCTTCCAAACTACTATGCTAACTGGGACTGATAAGAGCTCAAGGCCAAAATGCCTGAAGGGCATCACTTGCTGCCATCTCAGTCTAATACTTACGCCATGATGCCTGAAAGGTGGAAGACTTCTGCAGACAGATATGCCATGTAACTGTACAGAAAGACGAAAAGAGGTTCAATGACCCGGATGTGGGAGGTGAAACGGGAGGTGAAGGCTCCGATGATGCCGTAGACAACCCCGACAAAAACGCCCCCCAGGGACACCACAAAGAAGCTCAGGAAGCCCAGGATGATGTCCGTAAGGGTGACTTTATCAAAGTTAGCAAACTCTTCAAAAAGGTGGTAGAGAACCTGGAGAGACACAAAGGAGGGAGAGAAAAGCCATCTCAGACCACCGAGGCAGTGATCAGAGGTTGCCAATAGGTGTGCCAACATGAAAGGGAATTACTATCCCACAAAGGAAAGGAGAAAAGTTGGATCAAAGGGGAACATCTTTTTTAAAATATATATATATATATATGCACCATTTGTCCTGCTGGGTGCAAGCTGATCATAATTGGTCTCTGAGAATCAGCATGGCAAACCATGTGCTAAGCTGGCCTCCTTGGCTAGAACAGCAAAACCCTAAGTCAACCTTGAGCTGGTCAGGATCGAACTCCTGACAGTGGGCAGAGTTTGCCTGCAATACTGCATTCTGATAGGTATCTTGTGTGCAATTCCAAAACTTCTGGAGCACCATCAGCATTGACAAAATCGCCCTCAGTCAATGGCAAAAAAAGGCAGCTTTCCTTGGAACAGTTCACATTCTGCAACAATACCTTTAACACCATCACACAACAACATCTGCCTACCCCTGGTCCTTGGGAAAGACTTGATAGGCAAATAAAAGTGCCAAATCCAGTCTAAACATCTGGCTGATTGTGCAATTGACAACAATAAATTATATTTATATACTGCCCAATTTCCAGCAGCTCTAGACCTCCTGTTGAAAACTAATTAAAGCCCTCCCTGTCTTAGCCAATTATAACCTGAAACTGGTCCAGCTGTCAGGAGCCGTTGTCTTTTCTTTGAGACCTTGTTTTGGTCATCAGGACATTGCATCATCTCCCTCTCATCCCGCAGGGGGCTGGAGAATGGACATCCAAAAGAAAAGCAAGATTGTGCAAGATCAGGCATGTGTTGGCATCCAGTTAGCTGCTGGGGTAGCATAAATTCAGGGCAGGCCAAGAGACAAAAGAAAGGAACACCAATTGGATGTTTCTGCATTTTTTTAAGCGTCATAGTGCTTTATGGCAGGAGATGATATAAACTTAATAGCTTCACTGCATCTTAACCACTAGTGAGATAATCCAAGGCATCTAGATCCATGACAGCTTCCAGATGATTGATTTCAACTCCCAGAATTCTTAGCAAAGTCCTGCTGGTTGAGAAATTATGGAAGCTGAAGTCCACACAAGGCTAGACAAGACTGACTTGAGGGATTAAAATTCAAGACCCTTTAACTTCAAACTGTTTTAGGGGAGATTTTTCCCTAGTTCCATCCCTCTCAAGCAGGAGTCCCCAAACTCTTCAGCTCATTGACCCCTTCATGAAGTTCCAGATTGTTCATTGACCTCCAAACATTTATTATATGAAAACAATTTAATAAATACTTTAACTAATAGTACAGACCAGGGGTAGGCAACCTTGGCTCTTTTATGACTCCTGGGAGTTGAAGTCCACGAGTCATAAAAGAGCCAAGGTTGCCTACCCCTGGTACAGACAGTCCTCAATTTACGACCAGTCCCTCAGTGACTATTTGAAGTTATAATGGATGCCCCCAAAGGAATTTATGACCTGGTTGCAAAGTTCCAACTTTACCCCCTTTCTGCAGCTCAGAAATAGGAATGCTGCCATCGGACAGAGCATTTGCAGGGTCCCACTCAAGAGAGGTTGCTCACTTCTAAAAGTTACTGACAACTGAACAGGAGAAAACTGGGCAAAGGAAGAGAGACATATACTGTATCATTTTGGCATCTCTCTGAATTTAGAGAGACCTTCTTGGGCCATGTAGCAATCATGACTTTGCACAAATTAGTCACTTCTTAGTGCCCTTTCGTTGTCCCAGCTATAAATAAAATAACACGGTTAAAGCCAGTTTTTCCACTCCATCCTCTCTGCCCTTTCAACTGCCTCCTGGTGAGGAAGGAGGAAGGGACCTTCCTGGCATTAGTCACTGAAAGCACAGTAGTTCTCTTACATTCACCAATAGCAGATTCCCCAGAAAATGCAACCTAAAATATAAATGGTGTGCGACAAAATTCTTTCCCAGATTTTTCTTTTTCTACATGCTCTTATATGTAGCATTACTACAAGTTATAACAGTTTGCAGTAATACCCCATAAGAGATGCAGAGTTGGGAGAAGATGAACTCTACTTTGCGTGTTGCTATATAACAGGAGTGTCAAATTCACGTCACGTGAGGTGTTGCGATGTATTGTGACTTTTTTTCCATTGCCAGCAATGGGGTGGGCGCGGTTTTGCCATGACCGCATCCAGCCTGCGGGCCGGCAGTTTGACACCCTTGCTATATAAGCTGTATGTGGTAGGCCTAGACAGGAAACATGACCAGATGAGCTAATTCTACTTAACTGTAAGGTTACATTAGCAAAATCCTGCAAGTCTCAAAGTACTTATCTTCCCTCTTGGTTCCATTTACAGCCCCCAAACTAAGAAGGGTCTTTTCTGAGCCTCATCCCCACCTGTTGTGGGTCAAACTGCCTTTTATCTGTTTCTTTGGTGTCTCTCAAAGCCATTTCCACATGCCATTACATGCTGCCTGCAAACCATCTATCAGTCTTGCCCCAACTTGGTCCCTCTTTCTTCAGTACAAATACTGGAGTAATATTTCCTGCCCTTGAAGAAACAGCCTAGCTTAAAGTTCAGGACTGTAATAGCCTGTAAGAGTATTCTTGAGAAATAGAAACAATCATAGACTAGGCAATGACCATGTTTATTGTTGTTGTTCAATCACTGTGTCCGATTCTTCGTGACCCAAGGATCATAGATGCCAGGCTCCCCTGTCCTTCCCTGTCTCCCAGAGTTTGTCCAAATTCATGTTCATTGCATCGATGACACTATTTAACCATCTCATCCTCTGCCGTCTCCTTCTCCTTTTGCCTTCCATCTTTCCCAACATCTGAGTCTTCTCCAAGAAGTCCTCTCTTCTCATTTAGTGTCCAAAGTATTTGAGCTTCAGCTTCAGTATCTGTCCTTCCAAAGAACAGTCAGGGTTGATTTTCTTTAGGATTGATTGACTGATTTGATCTCTCAAGGGTCTTCTCCAGCACCACAATTCGAAAGCATCAATTCTTCAATGATCATATAAGAGGCACCTTAGCCCGCAGAAGCAATGGGGCAGAGACTCTCAAGGGTCTTCTCCAGCACCATCAATTCTTCAATGATCAAATGTCTCAGAAAAGACCCTCCCTAGTTTCTGACTTGCAAAACTGAGGGGGAGAGATGTACTTCCAGACTTGCAAGATACTGTTACTATAATCTTAGAATAAAGATAGTAGTGTTAGTAGTCCTGGCTGATGCTTCTTGTCCAGCCTACCTCTAAGAGTTGGTAAGAAAAGATCATGAAGCACAACATAGCATTGTCCTTCCAGACTTCACAATCCTCCTCCATCCTTTGGTATCTGCTGTTGGAGGTGGTACTCTCTCTCTAATAATAGGGCTGGCCCTATGTCTAAAATAACAGAGACCTGGACCTCAGAAGAGCTACAGAGAGCAACCAATTGCCTTTCCAACTCTCAATAATTTGTTAACCAGCCAACTGACAACAAACGTCCATCAAGTGTTAACCAACTAAGTTATTTTCAGGTCATCCCAACAGGGCCTTTCCTTTATACAAACCATCTCATAATAGAAGTTGCTGTTTAGTTGTCCACATCTCGCTGCAGTACTGATTTGCCAATTTCCCTTGTCTGGGAGGCTGGTCTTCCATATCTTTCCATCCATAACTCAGGATTACTTCAACCAAGGGTGACATTTTCCAATCTGTTCTGAATTGCTCACAGAGCTGTGAAATGTAACATAAACCTGCCAATTTTTTCATTGTAAGCTCTCCAGGTGAGATCCACACCTACCCTCCTGACCTTCCATAAGGGCCCAAAAAGTTGGTTCTACCACTTGGCCAGGAGCCCAAACAGAAAAGGGCACCAGACCATGTACTTTGTGCTCCCTTCGCCCATCTTTCAATTGTGAATTATCATTATTATTGTTAATTATTGTTTTATCATTTTAATGTTTATCTGTTTTTAATGTTTTGTAATGTGTCTAGAGTTATCTCTAGATGAGCTAGGAGGCACACAAATTTAAAATAAAATAAAATAAAATAAAATAAAATAAAATAAAATAAAATAAAATAAAATAAAATAAAATAAAATAAAATAAAATAAAATAAAATAAAATAAAATAAAATAAAATAATAAAATAAAATAATAAAATAAAATAAAATAAAATAAAATAAAATAAAATAAAATAAAATAAAATAATAAAATAAAATAAAATAAAATAAAATAATAAAATAAAATAAAATAAAATAAAATAAAATAAAATAAAATAAAATAGCAGTTCTATACCAGTGTTTCTCATCCTTCTCAGCTTGAAGATTGGGGAATTCTGGTTGGAATCCACACTTCAACTATGCCTTAGCTTGGTCTTACAAATCATTTCAAACATTGTCCTCCACCCACCCCATCAGTGACTTCATGGTCATCTCCATCTAATTTCCTAAACAAACACTGTCTTGTCACTGCCTTCTTCTTAAATCTTTTTGCAGTGTCTGCAGTCTTGGGATTTCTTAAAGGCCTTTTATTCAAGTATTAAAATAATTAGCGTTGCTTCGCTTTTTGATTGGGAGGCGCGCAGAGTTGGTTGAAAGATGGGCGGTTATATACAGATAGTCCTCAACGTATGACCACAATTGGGACCAGAATTTATATTGGCAAGCAAAAGGGTTGTTAAGTGAGTCATGTTCAATATTATGACCTGTTTTGCCATGGTTGTTAAGTGAATCGTTGCAGTTAAATGAATCACACAGTTGTTAAGCAAATCCATTGCTTCCCCCATTGACTTTGCCAGTTGGAAGCTGACTGGGAAGGTGGCTAATGGTGGTCACGTGACCCTGGGATTCTGTAGTCCTGATAAATATAGGCCAATTGCCAAGCAGCCAAATGTTGAACCCGTGACCATGGGAACACTGCAATGGTTTTAAGCAGGGGTCTTCAAACTTGGCCCTTTTATGACTTGTGGACTTCAACTCTCAGAATTCCTCATCCAGCGTGCCTGGCTGAGGAATTCTGGGAGTTGAAGTCCACAAGTCATCAAAGGGCCAAGTTTGAAGACCCCTGGTTTTAAGTGTGAATACCCATTGTAAGTCACTACTTTCAGTGCTGTTGTAACTTTGAATGGTCGCTAAATGAATGATCTTAGTTCAAGGATACCTTATTTTAAATAAATAAGGTATTAGAGTACCTGAAATATAACACAGTACATTTAAAAACAAATGCATGATTATGTTTCATGCAGTTAAAAAGGTTTTGTCCAGACTTCGCCTTCGGTTTCTGACATTTAGTCAGCTTCACCTTTAGAAAGCCTTCATCTTTTTCAGTTGCTAAGCATCTGTTGATGTCCTGGAAGGCTTTTTTTAGTGGCCCATTAGCTATTTTAGTTTCATTTGTTCCAAATTATGTTTGGGGATTTATCGTTTTCTATTGGGTTTTGGATAAACATTGCTAGGCACTTTGGGAATCTCTGATTAAGAGACTGGAATGAATGCTTTAATTTTTAAAAAAGGTAGTAATGTTTCAACCAATGTATTATGAAGTCCATTAGCCATGACTACAGTGAATAAATTTCCATATTCAGGCCAATCTGTTGGTCCGACTACTTCAGTACTGTCAACAGTGGCCGGAAGCAGGTCCTCTGAGCTTTAGAGAAGACCTTTTTTACCCACTTATCTGAAGCTCCCAAGATTGAATCACAAACTTATGGAATGCAATGCATGTACTGTGACAAGGCCTACAGCCGAATCCAATGCTTCTCAACCTTAGCAACTAGAACTTATGATCTCCTGGTTTCTAGTTTACTGCCTTAACTACTACAACAAATGGTCTCTCTTAAATATGGTACAGCTCATATTAAACTGGCAGAGATTTCCTTACATTTTCCCTTGAGATCTTCTGCAGACAAACTCTGTTTTCTATCCCTGGGTTATCTAATATTTAGGAAGACAAGAAGTAGATGCCTTCAACTTGAAAGACTTGATGTCTATCAAATGATCGTCCTGAGTAGATACAGGATATCTTTGACTAAGAGAAGCTAAGAATCAAACCAAAAGGCAAAGTGACCCTTTCTTTGGGGTTCCCTTGGCATCAGCTGATCCCTTCTGGAGACAGAAATCTCCCAGCTAATAATCCCTACATCAATGTCCGCATGCAGTGTGTTTTTTTGAGAGTATGAACATTGTGTTGAATCATGCACAAGACATTTTAGGCGTCTCCTCCTCCTTGGCTGCCTTCAACAGTGCTTCAAATCCACAAAGTCTTCCTTTATTCCGTGTCAGAGCCAGCCCTGCCAAAGCTGTGCTCTACTTACCACAGTAACTGCATCATTCAACAACGACTCGCCAAACACCAAGATGTGCAAAAGTTCATTGATGTGAATCTCCTCAAATACAGCCAGCACGGCCACAGGGTCCACCGCAGAGATGATGCTGCCAAAGAGCAGGTTGTCTAAGAGACCAATGTTTGATAAGGAAGGACCACCTATCTGGCACACGGCATACATCAGACCCCCCACGAAGAAAGCATTCCATAATGTCCCAATCACAGCAAAAATCAGGATGGTGCCCACATTCTCAGTGAATTGGCGCAAGGGCAAGAAGTAGCCAGCGTCCAGGATAATGGGTGGGAGAAGGAAGAGGAAGAAGATCTTGGAATTTAGGACTGGGGGGATTTCCCCCACGGCTTTAATGAGTGCACCAACCAGCAGTCCTACAACAATGAGTAAGCAGCTCTCAGGAACGATGCTGGAAAGGGTTGGAATCACGTGGAATCCTGTAAGTAGAGACAAAAGCAACATGGTCAAGATTTTAGTAGTTTTAGTGAAGCTGCATCCTCTGCACATTCCAGTTCTTCAGTTTTGCCAAGAAACTAAACTTACATCATCTGTGCACTGAGGATGTTACATAGTTTGGTAATGAAAGGTCTGCAAGGAAACAACCAATACCGGAGAGCACCAAGGACCCCTTCTTACATCATCTCCTAGAATCTGGATGTGAGCAATTGAAGGGTCCTGAAATAAGACTTGGTCCTTGAAAGAAACACAGTAGCACATTTTGGCTCCAGGACAACCTGTACATTGGATTCTGTGATCAGCCTAGATTATGCCAAGTAGGAATATCTGCATGAAGATTTTCTTAATTCATTAGCTGCAATATTATATGTAGTTACCCTAGTAGAGTAAATTCCAGATAACTCAGCTGGGCTTATTAGGTTGGTAAAACTGCTGGAATAATTTAGCTGTAATGAATCTGCATCTTTCTTACCGCATCTCCTCTCCAATTGAATTCCCACTTTGTATCACATCCAGAAGTAGACTTGAATGAGAGGACAAATTGGCAGAGTTTAATTATTGACTGCTCTTCCTTATTTAATGTCATATGTATCATCATTTCCTTATTTCCAACCATCAATCTGGGCTTGCCATGGTGATATAGCCCAAAACTACATCATCCCCACCAACAAACAATGATCAGCAATCTGGGGAGAACATGATCCTGCAAAAATGAACCAAACATTTTTTGGGGGGTGGGGGTGAGGGGTGGGTGGGCTTTTAAGCATGAAAGCAATCTCCAGAAAAAAGCAAGAGGATTGAGCACGATCAGGGGTAACATAATGAAGTTATTAAATCCCAGACAGGGACAATTCTAATTTTGATATTTGATGTTGGCTGTTCCCTCTGAATACAGAAATATTCGATCCCAGCCCTTCCCTCCCCTCCCCACAACCCCAGTTATCTTTTTTTTATATATTTCTCAAAATACAATTTGGTATTTTGTTTAGGAACAAAAATGATGGTAAGCACAGCATGTTGTATTTTTAATTCCCTGGCAAATGGATTCATTGTCATAAGAAGCAGACATTTTTAATAAACACCTCAGTTGCTTCCATCTTCCCTGCTGAACTTCTGGGCACAAGAGACCATCTGTTTTAAGTGGAGCCTGTTGAGCTGTAAAATAGATCACCACACTCTGATAGCTTAGTTATGTTCAACCAGCTATGCAAATACTAACAGCACCATAACAAAGCTGACATCATGCAAAATGCTTCTTGGATGTCAGGCAAAACTTCTATAAGATGAAGGCCATCAAGATGACTGCAACCTGTCTGATGGCATAAGAGTAACCAGAGATGCCTTCTCAAAAAAAGAAATGGTCCTACAGCTTCTGCAATTTGCTTTCTATCCTGTCAAGCTCTAAAAGGCTGGCAACTTCCATAAACAAGAACCATTTCAATTTCTGGAAAGATCACTGTTGCTACTAGGATAATGTAACAGAATCTTGAAACCCTATCAAAACAGGACATAGAACATAGAATAATAGGGTTGGAAGGGATCTAGCAGGTCTTCTACTGCAACCCCCTGCTCAAGTAGGAGATCCTGGACAAATGGCTGTCTAAGCTTTTCTTAAAAACCTCCAGTTATGGAGCACTCACAACTTCTGGAGGTAAGATGATTCCTTACTGTCAGGAAACATTTCCTTAATTCTAGGTTTGATCTCTCTTTAATGATATTCCACCTGTTACTGCTTGTCCTGTCCTCTACTGCTTTGGAGGACAAGCAACCCCCCCCCTCTTCTCTATCACTCCCCTTCACATCACCTGTAGTCCTTCTCTAATGAAGGCAACAATTCCCCTGTACAACATATATCTACTATGATAAATACAGAGTACTCACCCTTCTCCCTACTCACCCTTCTCCCTACCATGGACTCAATAGAGGTAATCCTCACTTTATGACCATAATTAGGACCAGATTTCTGTTGATAAGCAAGGTGGTTGTTAAGTGAGCCCTGTGCAGTCGTGTCAAGGGGGCGGTGCTCATCTCCATTTCTTAGATGAGGGAGCTCCCATTATCTGAAGATGTTTCCCTAGTCATGTGGTCAGCATGACTATCAGAGCATGCACAGTCTTATTGCAGTAAACAGCGCCTTGTATTAAATGGTAGTTAATCTAATACTATCTACAACATCATACACTAGGAACAATATACATACACATGCTAATATAGCAGGGTCTGTGTCTCTTTAAGAGCATTTGTATAAATGCATCACTGCAGCGGTTAAGGGAATCCAACTTCACCCACTGACTTTGCTTGGCCGAAGCTGGCTGGGATGATGGTAAATGGCTATCATATGATTCCAGGATGCTGCAATTGTCATAAATACATGCTGGTTGCCAAGCGCCCAAATTTTGGTCATGTAACCATAGAGATGCTCATCGGTCCTAAGAGCAATGACTGATCGTAAGTCACTTTTTTCAGTGCCATTGTAACTAAGCTGTAAGTTGAGCACTCCCTATAAACTGTTCTGTAAATGGTCCTGTTTCCTCTCTGAACTGTCCTGCTGCCTCCTCTATAGGCACTCAAAAAAAGAGAATACACTGCAATGATGTAGACAATGCACGTAAGCAACATTTCCCAAAGAATCCAGCTGAACTGTCCATATGCAATTTGCAGGGCGTTGCATAGTTCTGGATCATTTCAAAGAGATAAAATCTTAAGAAAACAGCCAACCAAGTCAAAAATTAAAGAACGGGATGTAAAATATGCCTTTAAATTTAAGAGCATAAGAATAATTGCACTGCATCAAATCTAAAAATCCATTTACTCCAACACTGTTTCTCCAGAATGGCCAAATATGTTCACAAGAGAAGAAAATGAGGAAGACAGCATCTCTTACTTGTGTTCCCTGGCAAGAAGTACCAAGAAACCTACTCCTCTTTTATTGGCAATAAAACTAGGAGCTTTTATTTTAGTTTGCACTGTCCTCCTTTGATTTGCTCCAATAACACTTTTCTGATACAAGTGCCCTCGCTTAAGAACTGACCTGTTTAGAAGCCGTTCAAAGCTGTAACAGTGCTGAAAAAGTAACTTTTGGGCCAGTCCTCACACTTACAACCATTGCAGCATCCCATAGACACATGACAAAGGTTTAGGTGCTTTATAGCCAGGAGGATTTATGGCTACCACATCCCATGACCAGGTTTGCACATTTCACAGCCAGCTTCCAACAAGCAAAGTCAACAGAGAAAGTGGCAGCACATTGCAAATGCAGTCACTCAATCTCTCACTTAATGGCCATGAGTGATTCTCTTAACAACTGTGGCAGAAGTGAGATTGCATGTCCGTCACAGTCACATGATGTCTGGCTTAACAACGATATTGGCACAGCAACCAAACAGGATGGGTACAGACTTCAACGGATAGGTAGGACTGCAGAAAAAAACAATTGCAACCAGCCTGCCTTCCATTGAGGATCTGTACACTGCACAAACTATCTACAACTATCTCAAATCCTCAAAACATAAACTGTTTCAACTTCTCCCCTCCAGACACCGCTATAGGGCATTGCATGCCAAAACAACTGGCATCCAAACACCTAACTTCTATAGCTCTTGCCTCAGTTGAGATATTTTAGAAGAAACCAGACAACCATTGATTGGACGTGTTCTAGCTTTGTAATTCTTGCACAAGTGCTGACTCTGAAAACTCAAGGAGCACCTTCTCCCATTGTATTATTTAAAGCAGTCTATTATTTCAAGCTGGTCTAAACAGCTCATTTAGCAGGAGTTCCAGAGATTATTTTTAGAGCAGGTATTCATCTTTTTCATTCTGGTATCATATTAACTTGCAAGGCCCAAAAGTAACCAAGAAAACCAGACTAAACATGAAAATATACATATGCTCAGTTACGTCATAGGCACAGCTTATAGAATTCAGCTTTTCTCCAATATTTCTAGCAACATCACCAGCTGGGACGATGCAACTCTTGCACATTGCAGAGAAAAACACCAGTCCCGGAATGACAAACGTCTAGCTGAATTGAGAACACTCTGGATGCAGCAGCTTTAAGCTTGACTTCTTCACAGTGACATTCCACTTTTTTCCATCTTTTATTCTCTTCCTCCCCACAGCCTCATATACAGCAGACAAGAAACCGGTGGGGTCATTTAAGGACAAAATGATGAGTCAGCAGCCTGCTGCAGCTGTGAGAGAGAAAATGCATATCCTGCACCACAACAATATTAAAACAGCAATTGCTGAAATGGATAGAGATACCTGTTCCTGGTTTCCCCACTCGCTGAATGAACAGCAACATTTCTCAACCTTGGCAATTTTAAGACAAGGGGTCTTCATCTTCCAGAATTCCCCAGCCATCCATCCAAGGTAGAGAAGTACTGGTCTATACTAAAGAAGATTGGGTATCATTGGATCAATTCACATTTTTTTCTTTCCAACCTAGAGTGTGAAACAGTATGGAGAGGAATCTTATGATTCCTGTGTTGGAATGCTTTAATGTGCATTCCTGCATTGAATAGGAGATTGGACTTTATGGCCTAGATCAGGGTTTCTCAACCTTGGCCGCTTTAAGAGAGGTGGATTGTAACTTCCAGCAAGGCTGAATGGGGAATTCTGGGAGTTGAAGTTCCCGTATCTTAAAGGTTTCCAGGGTTGAGAAACACTGATGTAGAGGCTTATATAGAAATTTGCACAATGACATTACCAAGTTGCATGAAAAATCTGCAGATCAAGCGTCAGGTGTCTATCCCCTTTCAAATTACTACCAATTTTAATATGGTCCTTGCTAGTTAAGGTAAAAGTAAAGGTTTCCCCTGTGCAGTCGTGTCCGACTCTAGGGGGCGGTGCTCATCTCCATTTCTTAGATGAGGGAGCTCCCGTTATCTGAAGATGTTTCCCTAGTCATGTGGTCAGCATGACTATCAGAGCATGCACAGTCTTATTGCAGTAAACAGTGGCTTGTATTAAATGGTAGTTA